GAAGAATATCATCTAAAATCTTGAAGAAGATTTTTTAAGTATAAAATCTTCTACTTACGAGAATATAATTTTTTTGGTGTGCGCAATTGTTGTCTCTGAATCGCGCGAACGCACATTCTATTTTGCAGTGCATCTATTCCGTCAGCAGACGACATCTCAACATGGTGTTGCTGAACGGTAGGTTTCTCCCAAATTTTGTTTACAAAATTCTTTTGTAACGCGTGTAAATGTTGCCGCGTGAAAATATTGTTCTCGCGATGATAACAAAGAAACACGTCGTTGTATTTTCGCTGATATTTGTAGAAATTTTAATTGATGAACATTTCGACCACAGTACGTAATTTCTCTCTCAAGCAAACGAATTCGATCGATCGTCCCAGTCGAAATTCGAACTTTAACGTAGGTTAGACGCTCCCCGAGAGATCTTTCTCTCGTTTAGAAAAAAAAGTTCCCTTGACATCCGATGACGCTGCGAAGCCGCAAGAATTCGCGCGTATCGTTTTACGCCCCTGTGGTGCGGTCCTTCACTTTTCATTACGCGGATCTAAGTTGCTGCACCGTGGTCTCGTATCGCGTCAACCAATTTGCTAGTTCGAATCTCGAACAACATGCTCAAGTCAGCCGATGATTTTTCACCGAGGTAGCCGCGGAGGAATATCCGAAGGTGCGACTCTGTTTCAATAAAAAACTCGTGGACGCCGATTTGGAAAAGGGAACGATGACGTTCTTGAAGTGAGTGAACGCATTTCTCATCTCGGACGGATTTTTTTTCGCCATTCACAAACCTCCGTTCTTCACTTTCAGCACAAAAACGGGAGCGGTGGAAGACGCGGAAGCTGATCTGATAATCGGCGCCGACGGCGCGTACTCGAAGATGCGAAAAATCATGGGCAAATCACCGATCTTCGATTGCTCGCAGGCGAACGTCGAACTCGGATACGTGGAACTTTCCGTGCCGTCTGGCGCAAATAACGAGGTGAAATAACGCGCCCGTTTTGCACAAGAGAGAGAGTAATTAACCCTTAACCCGCACACTTCATACCCTAATAGGAAATCATTTACAAAATTATGTGACAAAATCTTGCACTGAAATTGTAATTTCCAATTATACAGACATATTTTAGGAAATAGATGCAAAAACGTCGATCTTTTCTGAAATATTTGCAGTTGTTTGCAAAATTATTTTCCAAATACTATTTCGACAAAAGAATAACGATATGGCAAATCATCTTAGCGGTATATTTGCAAAATATTAATTTCACAAAGAAATTGTCCAATAATTGAGAAAAAAAATTCAGCTATGTGACGTTTAAAATATGTAGAAATATGATTGCATATGAAGAAATGCAAGAAATCGTCGTCACTCATGCACCGAAAAAATTGTATTCTTGTTTTGAGGAGATATCCCACTTACTTTAAGTATATTTTATACTAAAAGAGGCGCCAAGAAGGAGGAAAATCCTCTAAATAGTAATATTGATAAGAATATATACTGATTAGAATATATACTAATTAGATTTATATATATATATATATATATAATCAGTACGTAATCTATATATCTTTTGCATTAATAACGATATTTAGTAAGATTTTTTAAATAATTTTATTTTTATTAACATTTTAAAGTTTCTCATACATATTACCTATGTTTAATTTTTTATTTTTAATGATCATAATCTATATCTATATTTATATTCTTTTTAGTTATTATTTTTATAATAAAATGTAAACTAATACACAGTATAATAATAATTTTAACATTTAATTATTTTTATTTTTAATTCCTGACGCGCTGTGCACAAAAAGCCTCTATAGAAAAATATATATATCTCACTATCAAAAAAGACTATTCTTAATATATTCTTAAATAAAAAATATATTTTTAATTTCAGAAGAATATCATCTAAAATCTTGAAGAAGATTTTTTAAGTATAAAATCTTCTACTTACGAGAATATAATTTTTTCGGTGTGATGTCATATTTGTGCAATATTTTCACAATTTGCCTATTGGAGGTATATACTGTGGAAATGCATAACGACTTTTTCGCAATTTTTGACAAATATTATTTACAAAATTTTATTTCGACAAAACTGTCGCGTTATGGCGAATCATCTTAGTGCGATCATTGCAAAATCGTCGCCATTCGAGATGCCATTTTTGTGCAATATTTTCACAAATGTGCCTATTAGGATAGGAATCGCATAGTCTGCATATGGGGTACGGTCTACCCCACAAAAATGATCATCAAATTCACAGAAATTGTTATGATAACTTGAAAAAATTTTTATACACTATTTGAAGCATCTATAAAAAGACGTCATAGTTTTTTTAATGATTTTTCAATTTTAAGTTAGTGAAAAAAATTTCCTAAAAGAAACGATTTACGTAGCTATATCTTCGTGATTCAAAAATGCTTGGGGTAGATTCCACCCCACTGTGCAAATTAAGGGTTAAAAATTACTTGATTCTCGAGTCCTATGCGAAAGGATTCAATCAAGCGCTTCTAATTTGATTTCGTTTAGTTTCTAATGAGCGGTAACAATCTTCATATCTGGCCGCGCGGTGAATTTATGATGACGTCGCTGCCAAACAAGGACCGCACGTTCACCAGTAACTTGTTCGCGCCGCTTTACGTGCTCGATAAACTGAAGACGCCCGAGGCGGTGCTGAATTTCTACACCGAACAATTTCCGGATCTGTTGCAACTAATAGGCACGCAGAATCTGTTGAAACAGTTTTCCGAACAAACGCCGAGAACGTTGATATCGATCAAGGTTAGATCGTCACGATTCATTCAAAATTGTCGCAGTCAAAAGTTTGAAATGTATTTTACTTCTGTGTAAGAAAAAATATTATTATTAGCATTTTCTCACGTATTTGCAGTGCAAACCTTATCACGTTGGAAAAACTGCTGTTATCGTTGGCGATGCCGCCCACGCAATGGTTCCTTTTTACGCTCAAGGGATGAATACCGTAAGGTCCCCAGTAAAAAATTTTCCATGTATAAAATTGTATGGACATATTCGGCATATAAAATTTGCACAATTAGAAATAATTATTTTAATTTGTGTATAAATATATATATGATTATATATCAAAAATTTTTTAAAAATATAGTAAAAATATAGTTTTATACAATTTTTTTGTATGTAACATGATACTAATAGAGTTATTTTGTAATTTATATATATATCAAATTATATATCAAAACTTTTTTAAAAATATAGTAAAAATATAGTTTTATACAATTTTTTTTCCGGTAAAAAATTTTCCATGTATAAAATTGTATGGACATATTCGGCATATAAATTTGCATAATTAGATATAATAAGTTTAATCTGTGTATAAGTATATATGATTATATATCAAAAATTTTTTAAAAATATAGTAAAAATATAGTTTTATACAATTTTTTTGTATCTAACATGATACTAATAGAGTTATTTTGTAATTTATATATGTATCAAATTATATATCAAAACTTTTTTAAAAATATAGTAAAAATATAGTTTTATACAATTTTTTTGTATCTAACATGATACTAATAGTTATTTTATAATTTGATATGGAATATCTCTGAAGCCATTCTCTTAAAAAAAGAAATTCTCCGTGTATAAAATTGTATGGACATATTCGGCATATAAATTTGCACAATTAGAAATAATTATTTTAATTTGTGCATAAGTATATATATGAAAAATTGTTTACCGGGTTGGTTTGTCTGTTTTTGATTTTTATTTCTCTCTGATAATGCGCGGCAACTTACGTAACGTTACAACGTGTAGTTTTGACATTTCAACTTCTTTTTCACACATCGTCACAGGGTTTCGAGGATATTTTGTTGCTCGATGAACTGATGGAAAGCTACGATTCGGACTTCGCAAAGGTGTTGCCGAAATTTTCGGAATTACGATGCGACGACGGCCACGCGATATGCGACCTCGCAATGTACAATTATTTGGAGGTATGCTGCGTGTGAATTAATTTAAGGACGTTCTTAAATTCCAAAATATGGATGATTTAAGTTTCAATTTTTAACATGGATTTCCTATGCNGAGCCTTTGTGAAGTGAGGTTTTTTAAAGTTACTGACGACAATTTTTGTAGGATTTTTTTAAAAAACAAGTATGTGGTAGCGGAGAGTGTCTTAATTAAAATACGATTTTGAATAATACGGTGAGCAACCCTTGTTTTCAAACTGTAGCTTTTTTTTTGTTTTTTTTTGGGGGGGAGGTTTTTTGTTTTGCTGGATTTATGTGCGCTGTGTACTGCGCAGCTATTTTTGAACTTCTGCGCAGAGTAAGCGGATCTTAGCAGTGCTGAATAGCTCAACTTAACTTTGTTACAGCAGCACAAACTTACTCATGAGAAGAGATATTTTAGGTTGCTAACCACTGTAGTCGGAGAACGTCCTTAAGCAAGTAACTACACTCTAAACGCGAGCGCAATGTCGCGTTGTTTTTTGTTTAGATGAGGGATTTAGTGACGAGAAAATCGTTTCGTCTTCGAAAATCGTTGGACAATGTTTTGTACACGTTACTGCCGAATTACTGGATACCGCTTTATAGCAGCGTGCAGTTTACACGGATGAGGTTTCGCGACTGCATAGCCAACAAAGAGTGGCAAGACAAGGTGGGATACCATAAAAAAAAAAAACACAATGGAAAACTACAGGTTGTTGCAAAAATGATTTGATTACAGGTAATACAAACGAGTCTCCGGTGTCTTGGAGTCGCGATCTTTGGCATTTTATTTATGTTTTTTCTACAAAGTATCGCATGAAGTTGTGAGCGCGATTTATTCTCGCCGATTCTTTACGATAACAAAAATAAACGTACAGGTAAAACACACTTTAAATATTATTAATAAATTTTAAAACGCAATTTACATTTATAAACCGTAATGGACAACAAGAATGTAATCAATAAAGGTAGAATACATATATACATATATATATCAGAAAAGCGCTTTGCAGTTTTAGAACAAGCTCACCCTTTTTTGGAAATCTTCACGTTATTCATGTTTTCAGTTTGAAAAAGTAGCAATTTCATATGCTATGGTATAATCACACGTTCTGACATTCAAATTTTATTCATGTAAACGATTACGTACGTTCATTATACGACGTTTGTTATTTACATGAGACAAGGTTGTCACTCATGAGACGTAAAGAGACGTAAAACTACGAGTATTCCACGTTATATTGAAAAAGAATGTTTTATGAAGTTTTCTAAACAGAGACAAATATCCGAAGAATAGGATACACGCCTCTTTACGATTTTGCAACAAAGATATATTTTTAGTCAAAATAGGTGCCAGTTTTTAAAAAGCGTTACGTGTGTTTGTTACACTGAGAAAAAAATACTATTAACTCAACTAAATGCGTTTAGTTGAGTTTCAGTTTGTTATCTGAAATATCTTGTTTTTTTTATTCAAACATATGGTAATAAAGATAACAAATTTGTATAAGTTGAATTAACAATAGTGGTAATGAACATATTTAATTTACTAAACCATGAATTGTTTTGTCGAACATATAAGTTGTGATTTCAAATAAAAGATACTGTTAAAAAAGATGAAATAGGCAATTCTCATTTACATTAATTGAATATAATCTGAATTTCTTTGTACTAAGTATTTCATCTAATCAAACTGCTTATTTTTATAAGCAGACAAAATATTGTGTTGTCCTATTGTGTTGTAC